TCTATCACAAAAACTTTAAACAAACAAGATTATATGCTTCCTGCCATGTCATTTGCCAGTTGGATGAATTCACATTTTGAACCACACTCACTCACTTCTGCAGTTCAGAAAAATGTCAACTGGTATATGTTATAGAAATGCCATAACTACTTGCATATGAGGACCATCCTTCTTCCAAAAACAACAAGATAAAACCAGCATGTGACCAGAATCATAATCCAAACTAAATTTCATTTAGACGAGGGCGATATATGAACAAAAGAAAGATTTACAGGGATACTCCAGCAAAACCACAAATAAAAAAGAACCAGGTGTTCTGAAAGAACACCTGCCATGTAAATCTTGGTCAATCCAAGTAAGTGACGTCACATTCCAAAATGAGAACACTATAAACAACAAAAACACCAACAGTTATACTGATGAGTATCAAACACGTCCAGCTTCATAGACTGCACAAAGAAATGGAATATTTCTTAATGAGAGCACTTTGACAACCGTAAAACATCAACATGCATTTTTGCAAAAACCTTTTGTTGTGAATTACCTGTGATATGTAAATACCTAAAGTTCGAAATACAGGGATGTTGCTATCCAGCAATGGCAAATAAGCAATATAAATTTCATGTTTATCATATAGCTTCATGGAAAATAAGCAGCTGATGCAGAAAAGTCTGTCCAATCCTTCACAGGAGATTGGTTAGGAAGAGTCTCACAGGAGATCACGTAGGAAGAGTCTCACAGGAGATCACTTAGGAAGAGTCTCACAGGAGATCACTTAGGAAGAGTCTCACAGGAGATCACTTAGGAAGAGTCTCACAGGAGATCACTTAGGAAGAGTCTCACAGGAGATCACTTAGGAAGAGTCTCACAGGAGATCACTTAGGAAGAGTCTCACAGGAGATCACTTAGGAAGAGTCTCACAGGAGATCACTTAGGAAGAGTCTCACAGGAGATCACTTAGGAAGAGTCTCACAGGAGATCACTTAGGAAGAGTCTCACAGGAGATCACTTAGTAAGAGTCTCACAGGAGATCACTTAGGAAGAGTCTCACAGGAGATCACTTAGGAAGAGTCTCACAGGAGATCACTTAGGAAGAGTCTCACAGGAGATCACTTAGGAAGAGTCTCACAGGAGATCACTTAGGAAGAGTCTCACAGGAGATCACTTAGGAAGAGTCTCACAGGAGATCACTTAGGAAGAGTCTCACAGGAGATCACTTAGGAAGAGTCTCACAGGAGATCACTTAGGAAGAGTCTCACAGGAGATCACTTAGGAAGAGTCTCACAGGAGATCACTTAGGAAGAGTCTCACAGGAGATCACTTAGGAAGAGTCTCACAGGAGATCACTTAGGAAGAGTCTCACAGGAGATCACTTAGGAAGAGTCTCACAGGAGATCACTTAGGAAGAGTCTCACAGGAGATCACTTAGGAAGAGTCTCACAGGAGATCACTTAGGAAGAGTCTCACAGGAGATCACTTAGGAAGAGTCTCACAGGAGATCACTTAGGAAGAGTCTCACAGGAGATCGGTTAGGAAGAGTCTCACAGGAGATCACTTAGGAAGAGTCTCACAGGAGATCACTTAGGAAGAGTCTCACAGGAGATCACTTAGGAAGAGTCTCACAGGAGATCACTTAGGAAGAGTCTCACAGGAGATCACTTAGGAAGAGTCTCACAGGAGATCACTTAGGAAAAGTCTCACAGGAGATCACTTAGGAAGAGTCTCACAGGAGATCACTTAGGAAGAGCCTCACAGGAGATCACTTAGGAAGAGTCTCACAGGAGATCACTTAGGAAGAGTCTCACAGGAGATCACTTAGGAAGAGTCTCACAGGAGATCACTTAGGAAGAGCCTCACAGGAGATCACTTAGGAAAAGTCTCACAGGAGATCACTTAGGAAGAGTCTCACAGGAGATCACTTAGGAAAAGTCTCACAGGAGATCACTTAGGAAGAGTCTCACAGGAGATCACTTAGGAAGAGTCTCACAGGAGATCACTTAGGAAGAGCCTAGGAGATCACGTAGGAAGAGTCTCACAGGAGATCGGTTAGGAAGAGACCCACAGGAGATCACTTAGGAAGAGCCTCACAGGAGATCACTTAGGAAGAGCCTCACAGGAGATCACTTAGGAAGAGTCTCACAGGAGATCACTTAGGAAAAGTCTCACAGGAGATCACTTAGGAAGAGCCTAACAGGAGATCACTTAGGAAGAGTCTCACAGGAGATCACTTAGGAAGAGTCTCACAGGAGATCACTTAGGAAGAGTCTCACAGGAGATCACTTAGGAAGAGTCTCACAGGAGATCACTTAGGAAGAGTCTCACAGGAGATCACTTAGGAAGAGTCTCACAGGAGATCACTTAGGAAGAGTCTCACAGGAGATCACTTAGGAAAAGTCTCACAGGAGATCACTTAGGAAAAGTCTCACAGGAGATCACTTAGGAAGAGCCTCACAGGAGATCACTTAGGAAGAGTCTCACAGGAGATCACTTAGGAAGAGTCTCACAGGAGATCGGTTAGGAAGAGACCCACAGGAGATCACTTAGGAAGAGCCTCACAGGAGATCACTTAGGAAAAGTCTCACAGGAGATCACTTAGGAAGAGTCTCACAGGAGATCACTTAGGAAGAGTCTCACAGGAGATCACTTAGGAAAAGTCTCACAGGAGATCACTTAGGAAAAGTCTCACAGGAGATCACTTAGGAAAAGTCTCACAGGAGATCACTTTGGAAGAGTTTCACAGGAGATCACGTAGGAAGAGTCTCACAGGATATTGTTTAGGAGAAGCATATAAAAAGTTTAAGGATTTCACTAACCTTTTAGATAAAGGATGAAAGTAATTCCCAAGTGAATCAATATCTTTTCTAAAGTTAAGGAAAGCTATGAAGAAAATCTGCCTTCGTAATTATGAATTAATCTACATACATTTAAGGTACATTGTTGTAGATCAGATGTTTTATTATAAGATGTCTGAAATTTTCTAAACAGGAATCTAAAACCTGTTGGGGGCCCCATTTTACCATCAGGGAATCCTGCTATTGCTAAAGTGAATATGATCCAATTGTGTCAGGTTGAGGTAATGATATGTATTTCTGGCACAAACAATAATAAAATTTGACCTTTACCATGGACCAATAGATGAACCCGTGGACTAAACCTTACACTATCTACAATCAGTATCATCTTTCTGTGGCATTTCTTTATCTAACATTGTAAAAGAATGTAAAAAATATTATACAAATTTTGGATCTAATCGCTCAAACCCCTGGAACAGTAACACTTCAACTAGCAAACCTTCTAAACAAGTGCGGTAAAATCCATTCACTGGCTTTTAAGAAGTCATCATAAATATAAAATGCAAAAAAAAAAAAACCCAATGGACAAAACAACGTTGTTATAGGTTATCCTGATCCGTTAAGTTACATTTATCTATAAACAAGGACAGGACCAGACAGAAACAAAGCTTCTGGTACCAATCCTGTGGGAAATCCATGGGACACAACACATGTCTTCCTTTGGTCAGACTTAATAGTCAGACAAGTTGATCAGCAACAAGAAAGCACTTTTTGTTTCTTCTGAACAACATTAAGGGACATATTACCAGACATTGAGTCACTAAATGCAGACTACTTGTTAGTAGATCTCCGTCTGATTTCCTGATGAAATTTTTTTGTAACCTATTTTCTCTCACACAGGTGAAATGAATAATTTGACTTAACAACCTAACCATTCTTTACTCAATCCCTTGGTTTCCCCAAGCTGGATAAAACATTCGAAAAAAATCAATTATTTGGTATTAGATCACAAGACTGATGAGAGGGTTGATGCACACGCATGAGATTAAGTGGAATCACAACAACAAACACTAAAGTGATACGGATATGGCCAAGTTCCCAGACGTGTACGGAAAGTGCTTTACAAAAGTACAAAACATCCAACAACACTAAAAGCTTTACATGTAATATAGATTCTGATTGGTTTATCTAAAAATAAGCAATTCCAAGATATAATATTCCTTACATTGCTCTGGCACCGAGGCATCACGTTCGATATTTCAAGCTCCCCTTTTATTTTCTTGTTGAAAATCCTATTTCTGCTACATCATATGTCTCATGAGATTTGATCTCAATTTATCTACCTATGATTTGTGTATATAATATAAAATGCAAGTATTTTTATTTTATCTTTAAAGGAGCAAAATAAAATTATTCAGTGTATCATTAAAATAATTTCTACTGAAGTCACCATGATATCTTGCAAATCAGTGCCTTTCTGTTTTGGAATGAAAAACTTGGTCCATTGGGCCTGTATCACTCTCACACATTATTAGATATATGACCTTCAAAATGTGAGTGCATGAAATAGGTTTACTGCTAGATTTTGACTAAAAGAAAAAAAACTTTGAAAAAAAGGAAGGAAAAACCTATAAAAGGTTGGTAACAGATTCTGACACATCTCGTATTACTAATGTACAATATATGTAATAGCTGTACAGTCATATTTACATAAGTCATACAGGCAATGACATCAATTTCAAAACATCAAAAGTTTATCTTAGTGTCAAACAGATAAGACCAATGACTTTCAGACTCAGTTTTTCAGAATTATTCTAACATGTCTGACCACTATTGCTAGTAGTATGTAAGTCAAAAAGACCATGCACAAAAGCTTTCTACTTTCATGTATGCAAATTATGATATGTGGCATTTCAGGTCTTAAGAAGAAGTTATTTCTATAGATTAGCTCTTGTAGAATTGGATTTAGGTTGAAGTCATATACCTTAGCTTCTACTCTATTCCAGGGCAAGTATCATCACCAGAGTTACCTTGATTATAGAGAAAATTTGTTCAATTTAAAGAAAATTGTCAACAGGCAAATAGCAGATAATCAACTAGAACAAAACCCTGCCCACCCTTTTGTCAGGTGAGTGAGTAATTTATCATTGTTTTGAATATCATAATATAAAGTCAATTTAAATCAATCACAATCAAATCTAAACAGCACTACGTTTCACATGTGTGATCATCTGTGGAAATTAAAACATTTCCTGTCATGTTCATTTGAGATTGGACCGCTCCATTGTTCATAATGTCATTTGATATTCGAGTATCATGGTTGAGTGAGTTTGGTCTGATGACATCACGGTTGTCTGGATATGATGTCATGTTGACGAGATTACCACATGTGTCTATGTTATTCTGGGTATTATTGTTAGTATTTTCTGACAGAGGGGAGGAAGGGGGCGATGACAAAGATGATGAAGGATCATCTGATGCTAATCCATTTGAAATCATGTTTCCTGTTTCTGATGTCACAGAGGAACCATTTTGTTTTGAATCATCATCCGGGGTGGTAGAACAGGTGTCCATGTCTACCTCATTGTCAAAGTAACAATCCTCTGTGTTGTATAATGAATTAGAATATTCCACCTGGTTTCCATAAGAGTAAAATGCATTATGGGAACAGGATAGGCTTTCATCTGACTGAGTAAGTCCCGCTGTTACAAAAAGCAATTCAGGTGATATCATTTCAACATCACTGGGTGATGATGCATCCGTTGGTGAAGTGTCAAATGACATCATATTATTGAGATCTTGACTGGGAACAACAGGGTTTTTGCTAACGCTGTCAGATCTATTTCCAAGGAGTTTTTCCTGTTCTACACCAGGGGACGCTTCTATTGCCATCATAGGTGCTGCTACTACAGGTACAGAGGGTGCTGATGTTACTGGTGCTGCAACTACAGGTATTGAAGGTGCTGTTGTTACTGGTGCTGCCACCTGAGGTTTGGGAATGTCTTCATTACAAACCTCACCCTCACTACTGATGCTGCAATCACTGACAGGACTTGGGGACTTTACAGAGGCATCCTCAGTCTCTACTGGCACATCAGCAGCAGGACAAGGCTTGGGCGAAACATCCTACAAAATGAAAATTCAGATCAAATATCAAAACAAAATTTTATGATAGTATGACTCTAACAAGAATAATATAAAAACATGTTCTTTTTTAATAAAAGATGATGTTATCACAAGCAAACAGTGATTGGTCCATTTGTTAGGACACTAATTTCAACTGGAGGTGAGACTCGACTTAAACCAAATCTAAAAAGTTAGTCTCTTTAAGCTGATACTCCTGGAATGTCTGAAAACCAGGACTTTTAGTCTAGTCAAGATTTTGTGTATTTATGATGGAGTAAATGATGAATCATTTTGTCTGTGAAATAATCTTAAATTAATAGCCATTATTTGAGTCAAACATTAAACTTTACTTCAGTGGAAATGGAACTTGAAAGACAGTAGTATTAACACAACAACTACATATGTAAAGCAACACTTCCTTTCCTTTATTTCATATTTCTCAATTAACAATCTTTACAAGCTATGAAAAAGTTGTGGATTAAAATAAAAAAAAAACCTGAACAGACAAAGGCCTTTATATAGATCATGTTTTACATCCCTTCCTGTGAAATTGATCCTGGTAAGTGTCAATCACAACACATGTGTTATGTTGTGATTGAACCTTAGCTGGATTAATTCTGATATATATTCATCGTTCGGTATCCCTAACATGTATCACCCTCCTTATCAACCAATGACTCACTCGGAACTCACGTTACTTGTACGTTTTTGTGTTTCCTGTAAAATGTATACCTTGTCCGCCTCCTCATCAATAAACTGTATAGAGGCGTGAGAGTCAGTGGGTGATGGTGAAATCGAGGAAGGTGCAGTCACTACCAGGACTGGGTTAGAGTCTAGGAAACAGTGCTTTGGTGACATAGTTGGGGAACTTGGTGCCTCGTGGTTGTTCACAGGGTAATAACGATTACCTCCCTTTACTGTTGAACTGCTCTGAAACAAAATGGCATCATCATAGTTAAAAAGCCCTTCTTTCCTTCTCCTTTTCCTCACAAATATATATATCATCTCAAATGAGCTTTCATTCGTTATAAAACTTTACAAAACAAGTCTAAGAAATTTGTTATTTTAGGAGCATTGGTGAGCGAAATTTAAAAAAAATTTCAAGATGATGAATTTCATAATAGCTCATGTGAAATGAAAACAAAATGAAGACACTTTTTATCACATTACTTGGAAAAGTTACATTTTGACAAGTTTTAAGCCAAAATTTGTGGGGAAAATTTTAAACAGCAGCAGCCTGATTTTGTTGTGCCTCTTTCAATTAATGATGTAATGTCATATTGTCTATGTTATGACATCACAATCGATTTCTAATTGAAACAGCCAATGAAAGAAAGCTCTTAAGTAAATAACACTAGTGACATACACACAAATATTACATGGACAATTCCTGGATAACAGGTCCCTGACGTAGTAAATATACAGGAAATAAATTTTACAATGATGACAGCAACGGTAAAGTAAAGTTTTACTTTACCATCCATCATAATTTTGTATAATTCACCTATTGTCCTCATCCATCTAACGGTGTCTATTTCTAAATGGTCAAAAAATGAATATCTCACACCAATAAAAGTATTGATAACTTCAGGCAACTTAAAAATCCATTATGATTTAGACAATTCCACATTCATATGCTTGATGGTCAATCCATTATGTTACTGTTTTAACATTACTGAAATTTCCCACAAAGCTAGCAGGCTGCATATTTTTCCAGTCTGGTGGTTTCTTTTTGTAAGCTATCTGTGGTTCCTTTCACATGAATGCTGTAAAAAGTCTGGCTATATGCTGGATTATTCAGATTAAATTGACAAAATGGACATTCACTATCTGATTCCGATAAGGAAACAGAATAAACATTGGTTTGATTATTTACAGTGACAAAAGAACACTTGGGTATTCAGTTTGAAAATTCTAGGATCCATAAATGTATATAAATATACCTATATACAATGAATATATGCTATGTATATGCCTTGTATTTAAAGCATTAGTGGATTTAACAAGCTTTTATTTTAGATTCTGTGAGCTATCCCCTTGTTCAGGAAGTGTGATGCAGGAAATCTCAGTATTTCAAATGTTAAGCCTCCATTGAACTTTGACCCCTATCGCACCTGCCTACTTGTGGTCTTGTTGGTGTTGGGATCTTTGGTCCTAATTTCCTGAGTCTCCTTTGATGGTACCGATGGAGCCCGACCCAGACAAGGATGATAGTCAGGTGGTGCTACGACCTGTTGCTCCCTCCAACGCTTTATGTAATTTCTGGACAAGGAAGACAAATGATAAAAAAAATAAAACACTTTGACCATTTAAATTAACATCTGTTAAATCATCAACCAGATTACAAAGTAGATTATTATTGTTTTCAGAACATCTTAAAATGAAAAAAAAACCCTCAAACTACCATTCGTCAATTAATATAATCTGAGGGTAGACTGAGGGAAGGTAATGATTAAAAGATATGTTACTGAGAGTTAATGTACAGACCTGTCTGTTCTTTGTAAACAAATCAATCAAATAACATTCTACAATTCTACATAAAATCAATGTCTTTTTTTTTAATGAGGGCCATTGTCCAGTCATCTTTGATAACTAGTTTACACTGAAAGTCAAAATATTTAAAGTTGATTGACAGAAATCAATTCTCATATCAAAACAATTAAAAACTGTTAATTAAACAACATATGAATGTCTCTTTATTTAAGTCAACTTTCTGTAGTCCTGTACAACGCATTGTAAACTATGGTGCAGTGTAGAATCTAGATTAAACTCATTGTATCAATGTCTTACCTTATTCTCAATACTGCAGCCACGATAAAAAAAGTTCCAATAACGGCAGAACATGTTGCTATGACAACAACCTGGGTATGACTCAGTCCTGAAAAAAAACATAACTTGTTATTATCAAAAATAAAAAAATATTTTCTTTGTCAATTGAAAAACTATTACATTGATATAAAAGGTGGAGAGAAACCGCACTGCCTACTTTACAGTACATTAGGAATACATACACATGAGGAGATGATTCAATTTCCTCCAAGTTGTAGTAGAGAGACTGACAATAGTACAGTTAAAACAGACACACTCTGTGATATTTCCCTGGAGAAATTATTGTCCAAACTCAATAGACACCCTAGAAGTATCCAGGAATGTTTACGTTGTCTTCAGTGTAATACACCAATGATATTTCTTATAGATACATTTTACACTCAACTGCCTTAATCTACAATAAATGTCTGTACCGTATCAACAGTGTCATTAAAACAACACTATCACAACAATCACAAATGTCTCCAATTTTACAATTTCACTGTTTTTCTTATTCTGAGAAGTACAGAAGATTTCAATTGTTTTCAAATAAAATACAAGATCAATATCTGGTTTACCTGTGTTTGAGTCTCTAAAATGAACCACAAAATTCTGAAAGATTGGTTGGACCTAAAAAGCTTAACAGATTATGAGGTCCAAAGATTGGTTGGACCTGAAAAGCTTAACAGATTATGAGGTCCAAAGATTGGTTGGACCTAAAAAGCTAAACAGATGATGAGATCCAAAGATTGGTTGGACCTAAAAAGCTTAACAGATTATGAGGTCCAAAGATTGGTTGGACCTAAAAAGCTTAACAGATTATGAGGTCCAAAGATTGGTTGGACCTAAAAAGCTAAACAGATAATGAGATCCAAAGATTGGTTGGACCTAAAAAGCTTAACAGATTATGAGGTCCAAAGATTGGTTGGACCTAAAAAGCTTAACAGATTATGAGGTCCAAAGATTGGTTGGACCTAAAAAGCTAAACAGATAATGAGATCCAAAGATTGGTTGGACCTAAAAAGCTTAACAGATTATGAGGTCCAAAGATTGGTTGGACCTAAAAAGCTTAACAGATTATGAGGTCCAAAGATTGGTTGGACCTAAAAAGCTAAACAGATAATGAGATCCAAAGATTGGTTGGACCTAAAAAGCTTAACAGATTATGAGGTCCAAAGATTGGTTGGACCTAAAAAGCTTAACAGATTATGAGGTCCAAAGATTGGTTGGACCTAAAAAGCTAAACAGATTATGAGATCCAAAGATTGCATTCTCTTTGCCAGTTTCAACTCCTAATCCTGCACTTCTGGGATTCTTACCAGGTCATTTTGTTTTTATGTTTTTTTTCTCATTAATATAAAATGTGTTTTGTTGTTGGTATGAATATATTCTGCATTTTTTCAATCTTGAAAAAATACCTAAAAAGATCATTTCTGATAATAAAACTGCCAACTTGTCTCTGTGCTAAATGTTTTTAGAATTAGAGGACACTGGGTACAATAGAAATGGAGGTATACTCTCTGTAATACATTTAGACTATTTCAGCATTAAGTTGTCCAACCCCACATAAATCAATACATTCCTATATAATCTAAAGGATTTTTTATGTTTCTTTTCATACAATTTTTCTTTTGTGTCTAAACCGTAGACTGTATTCAAAAGCTCATATGGTAAAATGTTTACGACCAAATAGGACAATACAAAACAGTGAATTCTAAGATAACATGGTAATTTCCAGTTTAGTGAATAATTTGGTATCTTTCTGTAGATTTGAACTTAGCTTCAGGGCCTTTGCATTAAATATACTGTGTCTTTACTCTAAATGGATGTGTGTGTAAGGAGAGATTACACTTTACATTTGCTTTTTTCAGTTTGTTTTCCCCATCTGTGATATTTTACAACATATGTGACTAGAGACTGAAGTTAAAAGGAAGGCAACATCAATCTTAACAAAAACAAATTGGAAGAGCAGCCGCCTTTTGTGCTGTAGAAAATATTAGACTGTACGTTAAAGGCCTCATGAAGCTCAGATAAAACACCACCGTCATAGGAGTTATTGATGACATAGTCAAGGAAAGTGGATTTAAAGATGAATAAAATTTCATCAAAACATAGATATTGAAGAATGAAAACACAAATAAATTACATTTTATATTTTGTCTCTCTCTGCTTTCCGTCTTCCAAGTTATAAATTAAAAGTAAAGAACACATCCATTTGGCTGGTATCTGATATGTGGTGCCTGCTTTTATAAAACTCAACTGCAGAATTGAAGTTTGAAATTTTTTGAAACACATCCATTACACATCAAGCACAAACCAGAAAACATTTAATTCTGGCATATTCTTGATTCAAGGTTTTTCCATATTTGGAATAAAACATCAGCTTTTATTGACATTTAGTTAACGATATTTTAAATAATTCTTTAAAAGCAATAATGAATACATACCAATGCAGCTAAGCCTTGATAAGTTAATTTTTTACTATAATTTAAAATCATTTGTATCACCACAAATCCAATTATCTGATAGAATTGGAAATATACAGTTTTCGAAATGTTTGCTTCCTACATATGGTAAGCATGCCAATAGCATGCCTAACATTCATGGTGTTGACTACTAATTCAGATGTATCAAAATGTCACTGTCTTTTATATCATTAAAGCTAGTCTTTCAAAATAAATGTACTTTTACAACGATACATTTCCTTCCATACACACTGTGAGAAAATCTAATTATGGAGGCTGTTTTCATGAGTGAGTTTATATACAACAAAATACCTCACAAATTCTAGTTATTCAGTTGCCACATCTAATTTCCGTACAACCCAATCAGTATGCATCCTTCATCATTTCCTGACACTGCTTACAATCACCTCAGATGGATAGCTATGCCGTAGCATACCCATGATATAATACAATAGATCCCACAGTGACGCAGCAAATGAAATTTATATCGACATTATGATAGGTCTTTTCATTTGGTTGATCTGAAATTCAACACAATAAATATGATACTTCTCAGGTTATGATTTGCTAACAAGGTTGTTTTTAATCTAATTAAATCTCCAAACAATCTCAACAGTTGAATTCAAGGCTCATAGAATTCTGTACAAGCTCTGAACAGTACTTATACAAATGAGAGATAAACTGATTCTGTCACCTATGGAATACCTTTATCATTAGGATTGCTTTAGTCATGTACTTGTATCATAATATTCATTTGTACAAAAACAATAACTTCAAAACACAAACTTGGATTACATATATTTAGATAATTAAGTGTAATTGTGATGAAGACTAGCAAATACACACTTGCTCTTTAAGTTATTATTGTTATTACAACCACACTCTATATATAGATAAAGATGAAACAGGAGCATTCACTGATGGCTTTTCTTTCGCCATTCTGAATTGTGAAGTTTCATTTCAACTCCCATCCTGGATAAGCATACTTTGAAACCAGCCCCCTGCTCCTCACTGGATCAACAACTCCTGCCTAGCGCAAGCTTACTTTAAATCTAGCCCTAGGCTGCCCCCTCACTTCTTCATCAACTCCCGCCTTGTGTAAGCATATTTGGACTCCAGCCCCCTCCCCCTTACTCCTTCACCCCTCCCCTATAATTTTGGGTCCCTGTTCATCTTTGCCTACTCTCACAAGATCAAACAAGACAAAAAAATGAAAAATAAAACGAAGAGAAACACAATGAAGACAGAAGGAAGTACGTGATGAACTCGAGACATCGTATGTTATCATAAACCTTCGAACAGGAAGGCCATTTTGGAAACATCATCACCAGATGCAATTCTCATGTCTGATAGTAATGATATTGATCATAGGAAAGTCTACGGCTTAATTTAGTTAACATCAGGTTTAAAGTACATGCAAACTTACTCAAAGCATTATTAGTTCAACATCCACCATCAATATTAATTTTCACAACTTTGTTAGTTTTTCTATTTTTGTAATCTGAAAGCTCCTTTCTTAAAATCAATATCCTGTTGCAATATATAGATGATTACAATTTTCCTTGTGTTTGTGTGATAACAGATTTTTGTGTTTATTGTTGTTAAGCTGATGATGCCCTGAGCGATGTCCAGACAGGAAAAGATGAAATCATTAACATAGGTAATTACACCTTGCTAAATAACATGTAATTATCACGACTCAGTCGCGAGTCCTTATAACGTTTGACACTGATGATCCTTGTGTGTATATATGTCTCGATTCCTAACCAAGGATACAGTAAAGTGCATTCAACATTTTGCGACAACAGCTACTTTTTCCTGTGTTTCAGATTTTGAAGCTAGATATGTTAAACAACACAGATGCCACTGCTGTAATCAAGGAGAAGTTTGGAACTATTTGTGTATTTGACTCGTGTCTCAGGAAATAAAACAGATCTTCTGTCCTCAGAATCGATTGGTGAAAATTAAGAAATAGAAAAAAAATGAATCTTTTAAAAATAAAATCTGCTGGCAGAACTTCCAAAGTAATCTGAAGTTCTTTATATTACACTCTACAAGCAGGGCTTTGATTTTATAATTCTTTACATTAGATTCTGCTGGCAGGACTTCTGTGTTTTGTTCTGATTGTTTACAATAGATTCACATGCAGGACTAGAATTTCATTTAAGAATCTTTACAACAGATTCTGCAGGCTGAGGTGGTTTTATCTGAATCATGAGTACACCTTTTAACAAAGCCCCTAAAATGCTCCTAACATCTCCTCAGGGGATGTTGGTATGGGCATCCATGTCACTCTTGACACATCTGGATTTCTTTAATGAAAAAAGTTGTGTCAATGACAAAAATCACTCATTTTGCTCATTTTTCACAATAGTTCTTGTAATGTCCTTAAATTGCAATTAAGCTTGAATATCAGAATCCTAAAAGGAATTAATGATGTTCAAATCAATGATGATAAGGTGGCCAATGCTTTACTCTAAATATAGAATCACCGTGAATCTGCAAAAACATCAAAATTAACTATTTTTTAGGTTGTACATGTTTTGAAAAAGTTGTTTTGAGAAAATTCTTGAAGACCTTGAAAGTTTCCCTAGCTACACACATT